CATTATCATTTTCATCATTATCCTCTTCATCATCAGTCACTACCATCATCATGAGGATGATGAAGATGAGGATGACAAGAATGAAGATAAGGACAAGGGTGAGGATGAGAGGGATGATTCTCATCATCATCATCATCATCATTCTCATCAATCATTTTCTATCATTCTCATCACCATCATCACAATCATTATCACCAACAACAACCATTATCATCAATCGTAATCACCATCATCTTCTTCCTCACCATCATCCTCATCATCTTTCTTCTCCTCATCATTATCATCAACATTCTCCTTATAATGGGGAATATAATGAGGATGGGGATGACAATAAGGAAGATGATGATGATAATAATAACAATAATAATGACATCAGTATATTAGGAATAGTACTAACGCTAATATTAACGTGAATTATAAACTATAAATTTTTTAAAACGCATAAGAATAATGATATATTATATTAATAATATTATAGAGTAACAACATAATAGTATACTAATGATGATGAAGAAAAATGTAGTGTAGAAAGATTAAATTTAAATAGGTAAACATTTCCCTTAATTTTGATTGTCGTAGTCTTGGAATTGGGTGTGTTGACGTCATCATTCCAATTTTGCTTGGGAGGTGGGAAATTCCCGTCTGACAGGCCTAGACTCCCATCGTCCGATGCCACACCACAAATAATGATTTGCTTATCCATATAACATTATTTTGATTGCCAATCCCTAATATTTTGGCTTAAAAGCAAAATTTTGGGCCATACAAAGCTAAAAAGAAACTCTCCCATAAGCCCAGGGAAGCTTATTCCGGGACTCTGACCGAGGGTCTAGTCGGCCCTGTGTTTGGACCCACCCTATCTGACCCCCTGGAGCCACCACTGAACGACTATAATGGGTAAGTATTTAACTAAGGTCCTGTCAGTTTTTACAGTTATAGAAAAAAACTAAGTGCCTAAAAAAATTGGTATGTTAAAGCAAAATTTCACTATTTCGTTTTTTCGTTGGGTTAACTTTGTAGTAGTTCATTAATTATATATATATATTATATATATATATATATATATATATATGTGTGTGTGTATATGTTTTTTTTATTCCTCTATATATAATATTGTATTGCGATTATATTGTACTTTGATAACAATAAAATAATTTTTACATTAAAAACATAGTTTTTACCACCTTAATGGACGCCATCTTGGAATTTATCATGATGACGTCATCATTCCGATCAAATTTTTAAATGAGAATGATGAGTAACTATTTAGCCAAGTTGTTGTTACATTTCATATCCACAGTATATGTAAAAGTGACCAAAAACATAAATTTATTTCCCCTATCCCATCTTAAATAGTTTAAAATAGGGTATTTTATGTCAACATTTCAAAGTGCTGTAAAAAAAATTGCCCAAGTCCTAGGCATGGGGATTTTTTTTTTCTGAGACACTATAGGGTATGCTGATTCAGAAAAACCAAAAATTTATTTTCCTTTACTTTTTTCTCGCTAAAGTTCATTTCAGCAGTTTTACAACCAGACTAGTGTTTTTGAACAGCTTAGAAATGTGTTGGCCACGCCCGACCGACGCAAATTTTAGTAAGGGTCGGCATTTTAGTACTTTTTTTTTTGACAACAAACAACATTTTTTTTTATGAGCAAATAAGGCTGGAATCGGGGCTGGAATAGCCTTGGTATGTTAGGGGGTGGGGGCCAATTTTGCTGAATTCACTCCTACCGACCTACCAATTTTTTGGATTTTCTCAAAACGTGGCCAACATTTAGGCCTAATATATGGATGACTAAAATGTTAAGGTTTGTCTTAAATTACAAGAATTTCCCATGTTGTATTATTATAATCGATCGAACAAGTACACCTTAGGCAACTTTGAGGTGGCATCCGTTACCGAAAATTGCTGTTATATTTTATTTTCTATGTTAAAATGTATATCAGTATCAGAAACATGTTAAAATGTAGATAATAACAGGGATGACATGATATGAGAGTTACGAACACATCGCAAACGGCAAAAATAACACTTTAAGAGAAAGAGGAATATTATTTATTTATAAAATATGATTATTCATTTTATTTGAAGCGCATACTAATAATAGGTTATCCAACCTGAGACTAAAGTCACTATATTGCCAACCACCCTAAAAAAAAAGGTAATAGCAAGTGACAATTCGGAGAATCATCTTCATTGCATGTCGTGATGCCATCCATTTAATGAATTATTTGTTATTTGTGATACTTTTGAGCCCCACAATTACTCAGCGCGTTATATAATTAGCATCATATATATTCAAACTTTTTATTCAAAAATGGTCGGAACTTGTACACTCAATGTTTCCTGCATGTACCGTAAATGCTCAAAAAAAGCACCACTCTCGAATAAGCGCCGCACCAAACGTGATTCTTTTTGCTAAGCGCCGCGGCGCCAAATCGAGAGTGTTACACCCTGTGTTTAATATGAAACACTTAGAGAAACAGTGTTTTTAATACATTGTATACATTGTTAAAATAAATAAATAACACAATGAAGACAAGTAGTTTTTTGTAAGCTCCACACTCATGAAGCCTCCACAAATTTTATAAGCGCCGCGGCGTGAGCATTTCCGGTACATGTATAATATTTGTTACGGTACTAACTCCAGTAAACAAAAATTTACTTTCTAGGATAAATGAATCCATAGGCTCCGATTTGAGGCTATATCCCTAAGATAAATCATCATAATTTTCTAACAAAAGACCTGAACAGAGAGCAAATTGGTTTGTGGCCTACCAAATTCGTTTGCTCCCCGAGTTCAAAAACCATTGCAGTGAAAGCAGGAGCATTTTTAGAAGTCCCAAAATGTGTCCGAGCATGCTCCATCGCGATTTATTTTAATTTTAATCTGCATCAGGTCAATAACACTATGTATAGGCCTACCAACAATGAAACGAAATTAGACATGGTGTTTACTTTATTTATTTTTTTTATTATTATTATTATTCTTCTTCAAGTCTTTTTAATTCAGTTATTATTGTTAATGTACTCTGTGTAAGGGAAGGAATCTAATTTACAAACATACAGAGCCAATCAAAACGGCCGTTAAAGTTACATCATCGTGTCCCAAAAATCTGTAATAATAATAATTTGTCAAAATATTTAGAAAAACCTTTAATGGAACAAATAAACTTAAAACACAAGTTTTGTATAATGTTCATGTAACGTTTGACATGAATGTGCACCTAGGTATTAGTGTACCTGCTTTACGTTACCAAGGTAATTTGAATCGGGAGGGAGCTAGGCTGCATATACATCAACTATACTAATAAATACATGAAAGGTAAATAATTTTTAGTTTAAAGACATACTATGAGAATACTGATATTTTCATCATTGACTAAACATACTGTTCGGAATAATTATAGTACTACTGTAAGGAAAATATTATGAATGACGTCATCAACAAAAATATGGAACAAAAATGCCAAAGTACTGTAGAATGTGGATATCTTATACACATCTAGATGTGTATAAGAGACAGATATTATATTAATAATATTATAGAG